CTTTCCCCCCCCCGCCGCAGACCCCAGCTCCCATCCCCCCAGCGCGGGGGCTGCCATCGCCGCTGTTTGCCATTTTACGGGGTGCAGAATCGGCTGGGGGGGACACACAGAGCTCTTCGGTGCTGGGAAACGGCGATGCCGGGTGGTGTACGGCTTTGCTTGCCAAGCTTGGGCTTCCCCAGCCCGCGCCGCAGACCTGGATTTTATGCTTGACCGTTGCTTTAGGTTTAGTTACCCCAAAAACAAGCAAAGAGGGGGGGGAATGCCTGTTTGCCTTCCAATGGCTGGGGAAGCCGCAGCTCTGCTCCCTGCCTGGCCCCCGTTTCACGCTTGGCAGATTTGGGAAACCCTTCTGTAAATGCCATTTTTTCCCCCAGTGATGGCTTTTCATGCTTGGGGTTGGAGTCGGTGCCAGCACCATCCCCAGGGCACTGGGAAGTGGCCGGCCACCGTACAGCCCCAAGCGCTTGCCCAGTGCAGCCCCTGCCAGGACGGGGTCCTGCCCCGCTCCCCAGCTTTGCCCCACTGGGAGGGCTCAGCCCATTGGGTTTGGACGTGCGGGATGGGGCAAGGAGGTGGCAGAGCCCCCCCAGCTCCCTCTGAGTGGTTGCCGGTGCCCCCCCAAACTGGCCATGGGGAACAGTGAGGACGTCCCACAGGACAGGTCACTGCTCAGGGACATCTACACTGGAGGGGACATCTGACGGGCAGCCCTCCTGGAGGGTGAGTACTGACCCCGCTGCCACCGCCGTGGTCCCCCATCACCCCACAACCTCCCCCTCACCTCTAGCACCTGCGGGGACACCCTGACACCCCCCCCAGCAGCCCTGGGCTCCGTGGGGAACAGCTCAGCTCTCCCCAGATGCCGCTGCAGAGGGGAAACTGAGGCACGACTGCAGGGATGGTGGCAACCAAAGAGCCTGCTCTGCAGGCGGGGGGGGTCCTTGGCCACCACCTCATTTCCAAAACCACCCCCAAGCCGCAGGGCTGGGGTTTGAGCCCCAAATCCCCCATGCCAAAAGCTGGTATCTGTGGGATCCAGCTCCATAACTCCGCTCCGGGTCCCAGCTTGTGTCCCCCCCCACAGGTCTCCTGGCCAGAGGGGACCCCCGGCCCCCCCTCGCCCCCCATGGCCCCCATCACGGTGCCTGGATGTGCTATGTGAACCCGGGCCCCATGGTCCCCGACCTCCTGCTCTGCCCCAGAGGCCTCGGCATCTACTTCTGCTGCCTGCGGCCGCTGCCCACCCACCCTGAACTCCCCGCAGGACACAACCGGGAGCCCACCCAGCACCCACCACCACTGTCACCGCCACCACCGCAGCCCCCGTGGCTCCGTGAGGATGCGGCCGGGAAGGGGATGGTGTTTTCTGCTTGGGCTCTTCTGCACTCCTTCCTCCCCCTGCTCTTCCTCCCTGCCCTCCTCTGCCTCTTCCCTCCCTTCCCTGTGATGTGGCCGGTTTCTTGCCCCTCATCCCCAGGGGCTGGAGCCAAGCTGCTGGCTGTCCCCAAAAGGCTCCTGGCCAGGGCTGAGGTTTGGCAGACCCCCCCACTTCCCCCAGCAGCAGACCCTCCTCTGCCTCCCCTCGCAGCTGCCTGCACCCCTGGTCCCACAAATCTGGCAGCGGGTGCTCCTGCTCGGCCCTGCAGACACAGCTTTGCTCCTGCTTGTGTTGGGCTTCCCCCCCTCCAGCCCCCCATCCCCAAACTCCCCGTCCCCTCCCCGGGCTCCCTGCTGACCCCCCGGCTGCTCCTCTGCCCACAGCCCCCAATGCCACCAGGGCCACCAGCTGCGGGACCCCCGCGGGGCTGGACATGGCCTCTTTGCCAACGCAGCCCCTCTGCACCGAAGATATCCCCATCGGCAGCACGGAGGAGGAGGAGGAGATGAGAATCGAGGCTGAAGAGCTGCAGGGAGCCACGGAAGGCTGGAGGAAGGAGCCCTTTGGGCGAGTGGAGCTGGTGCCGGCAGGGGTCTGCCCACCCTCCCCGCTGCCCAGGGAGCTGAGGGTCCACCTGGGCAACCTGGGCCCCCTCCTCCTGCCCCAGCCGTGCCTCTGCCTCTGCGGCACCCACAGCCCCCCGCTCCTGCTGCCCTTCGCCCACCTGGGTGACATGGGGACCCCAGGGTCACCTTCGCAGGGCTGCGGCAGTGCCCTCCTCCAGCTGCCACCCTGCCCACGGCTGTGTGGGACCCTCCTGTCCACCCGGCAGGGCGCTCCCGGGCTGCCGAAGCCACCGGTGGGATTTTTCCCTCTCTGCCAAGGGTCTTTCCCCTTCCCCGGCTGTGGGGCAGGGGGGTGCCTGCTGCCATGGGGGGGGATGCCCTGCTCTGCCCCGCAGCTGGAGGTGCCCAGCCACCGCGTGGCCAAGCCGCCTGCGGGCATCGGGCCGTACCCGCTGGGGAAGGACGTTAGCAGGAGCAAGTACAAGTGCAACATCTGCGCCAAGAGCTTTGGGCAGCTCTCCAACCTCAAGGTACTCGGCGTGCCCCAGCACCCGCTCTCCGCTCCCCCCCCAAGCCCGGCAGCCCACCTCTCCTGCCTCCCTGCAGGGTCAGCCTGCGCTGGGGACAAGGGACAGCGGTGGCTTGTCCCAGCTGCGCGGGCAGGTCGTGGGCCTCTCCCCGTGCCTCAGTTTCCCCCCAGCAAAGTGTCAACTGGTGTGAAGTGCACTGAGATGGGCTGCGGATATACCCCTCTGTGCTCCAGCCATGCCCCAGGAGCTGCGGGATGCTCCCAGGAAGGGGGAACTTGGGCAGCCCAGACTCCTGGGTCCCCAGGTGCCCCCCCCATAGTCCTGTGCCCCCCCCCGGCAGGTCCACCTGAGGGTGCACAGTGGCGAGCGGCCCTTCCCGTGCCCCATCTGCAAGAAGCGCTTCACGCAACTGGCACACCTGCAGAAGCACCAGCTGGTGCACACTGGCGAGAAGCCCCACCAGTGCCCGGTAGGTGCCCACTGGGTGCCAGGAGGGTGGGGGGGGGGGTTCTGAACCAGGGTACAGCACCCACTCCAAGCCCCCCATGCTCTCACCCCCGCAGACGTGCCACAAGCGCTTCAGCAGCAGCAGCAACCTGAAGACCCACCTGCGGCTGCACTCGGGCGAGAAACCCTTCCAGTGCCACCAGTGCCACGGCCGCTTCTCCCAGCGCATCCACCTCCAGCTCCACTGGCGCCTGCACCAGCGCTGGCGCCCACCCCCCAGCCCCCCACGGCCGCCTCGCCCAGGCCAATGGGTGCTCCAGTCTGGATGCTGGGTGCTTGGTGCAGGAGGAGGAGGAGGATGAGGAGGAAGGAGGGAGACGGCCCGGCTGGGCTATGGTGCTGCTGCAGGGCTTTGTGCTGGGGGAGATGGGGAAGGGGCTGCCCGGGTGGGCAGGGGTGGACGTGGGGACCTGCCACTGTGTCCCCAGGCACCAGCAATGTCCCCTGGTGGGGCCCGTCTGAGCTGGGATGGCCGCAGGGGCTGCGCGGGGTGGGCTGCAGCCCAACCTCAGACCTTCAGGGCCAGGAGGAGCCACCACCAACATCCACCGCAACCCCCAAACTCCATCAATGCAGCCTCGGGGACAAGGACCAAGGAGGGTCCCCCCCCAAGCACCAAGCAGACCCCTGTCCCCAAAGCCCTCGGGGGTGTCCCCCTGGCCAGCCCCCCGTCCCAGGCCATGCCTGTGCCCCCACCCTGCAGCATTACCGCCCCGGGGCTGCGCCTAGGGTACAACAACCTCCCCCTTTCCATGGAGAAAACTTTAGTTTCTCAGCCCCCCCCACCCAGTATGCCACCGCCACGGCACTCACGGAGACCTGTCGCTGCTTTCCTCGGCTCGGTGTCACCACCAAACCCTCCTGGGGCTCCATCCAGGGGTGCAATGCCAGGGTGGGCACCTCCATCGCTGATACCTCTGGGTGCTGCTCCCCACATTGTGCCAGCACCCCGAGCATCTCACTGACACCCAGAGGACACGATGGCCCCGGCTGTCCTCGCCTGCTGCTGAGGTCGGGGCCGGCGAGTGGCATCCCTCCCGTGATTTTATTCAATAAACATTTCTGCCTCTGCAGCTCACCCGCCCTCGGCAGGACCCAACCCCAGCCCAGTGCAGCTCCCCAGGGAGGGGAGAGAGGGTCCCCGCGGTCCCCAGGACATGGTGTCCCTTGGAAGGGCATGGGACATGGGATGGAGCCAATTCCTCCGGTGCTGGCGGGCAGCACGGCTCGGTGCCCTGCCACCACCAACCCCCTGGGTGGGGGGCTGGCAGGGCTGCCTGGAGCCCCCCCTTGCCTTTGGCTCTGGGGGTCAAGGGGCTGATCCCCCCAACTGGTACCAGCACACGGTGGGGGGGGGCTTCAGAGACTCTTCCCCAGGTGGGGTCGGGGACACAGCCCCCACGGGTGTCCTCAGTGGCACGTGGCTCCTCCCCAGGGGTTTCACAACCACGTCCCACCGGCTCCGGCAAGGTGGGATGGGGCAGAGTCCGGCCAACCCGCTCCAGCCCCAGCCATGACCCGGCGCTTCTCCAGGACGGCAAAGCCAGCTCAGCAGCGGGTGGAGGACGGCCGAACCGCGAGCCCCCCCATCCCCGGCGGGGCCCTGGGTCTGCTGGCCAAGGTGCAGAGGGAGCTCGTCGTCTCTGCCTCAGTTTCCCCAGCACGTGAGCGGTGGCACCCAGAGCTGGGTGGCCCCGGGCACCCCAACCAGAGCCGAGCTGCGGCTGCTTGTGCCGGGCCGGTGGTGGCTGAGGAGGCTCCCGGGCTGGGCCAGCAGCCGGGAGTGGTGGCCCTGGGGGGAGGCTGGCACCGCAGCGGGGCACCCACGGGTGCTGGGGAGGAGCGGGAGGGCAGGGTGAGGATACAGGGAGGGTGCTGGCTCTGCTGTCGCTCCGAGCCTTGCCGGGAAAGGGCCCTGCGCCCCGGGGTCAGGTCTCCCACAGTGGCCCAGGCCTACTGTGACCCCCCACTCCGTCCCCAAGCCAGCGTGAAGACCCTTGAGAGCCTCAGCTTTCCGAGACCTGGGAGACCTCCCAGCATTAGGAGCCTCCTGGGAACGTGCTGCAGTGCTGCGGGGCTCCATGTGGGACCCCCACGTAGTCAATTAATTGGGTGCAATCACAACCCTGGGGACCCCCAGCCCCTCGGCGCAGTGTGTTGGGACCCCGCCAGCCCCATGGCCCAGCCGAGCCTGGCCAACGCGGTGACCCGGCTGGCTGGCTGAAGGTTCGGTGACAAAGCTGGTCACTGAGATCCCCTTCGACGTTACCGTCACCCTTACCGAGATGGGTGGCAGGGAGGGAGCCAGGGATGGGCTGGGGTCCGGGGGGGCCCCAGAGCCACCCAGGCCGGCTGGGCTCCCTCCTGGCGCTGCTGAGTCGGAGGAAACGAAGGAGCTGGGTGCTGGGGAACCAGCCTGACCGGCTCCCCGGCTGTCAGCAGCTGAGGAATGCCAAACCTTCGCTGCGCCAGGGCTGGGTGCTCAGGGCTGGGTGCTCGGCGAGGGCTGGGTGCTCAGCGGGTGACTCTGCCGGTCCGCCCAGACGTGGCGTGCAGGGAGCAGCACCCCCAGTCCCGCTCGGCACGGCACGGCACGGCACGGCACAACACGGCACCCCGCTTGCCACTCAGCCGACACAGCGGGACCCTCGGCCGGCAGGTACATGGGGGTGCAGGGTGGGGGGCCCCCAGGCACAGGGTGCCGTCTGGGCTGGCCCAGATTGCGGGGGTGCTGGTGGGGAGGGGAGCTTTGCGGTGCTGGGAGCCAGAGAACATCGATGCTCCCATCCCGGCTGCCACCCATGGGGGCTACCTGGTGCTTGCACCTGTGCCCCAACTTGGTGGGTGCTGGGATGGGTGCCCGCTCCCCCGGGATCGGCACCGGCCAGGTGGGCGCACGGGGCTGGGAGGTGGGCGCGGAGCCCGGTTCTGCTCCTCTCACCTTCAGTCCCTGAATTTGGGGGGCTGCTGGGGTTATAACCCCGCTTCTGCCACCAAAGTGTGTCCCCAGAGCCACCGAAGTGAGCTGGGGCTCCTCCATCTCTGGTGGCCTCGTGACCTGGGCCGGGGGGACAGTGGGGGTCCCCCGTCACCCCTGTCCCCCTCCTTCCCGCAGGGCACGTGGCTGCCTGCGACACGGCTCGGCAGGTGGGTGGCAGGGGCAGCGAGGGGAGATGGCGGTTCCACTGCCCTCGTTATGAACCCCAGCCCGCGCAGCAGCCACCCAACCCAAATCCTTGATTTTCCTGAAGGCGGCAGGTCCGCTCTCACCTCGCGGCAACTGGGCTCAGCCCGACGTGGCCGGAGGCTCGGCTTAATCCGTGGTCACCGGCTCAAAGGCAGCCACAGCTGCTGCCCTTGGCCCCTCCGTCTCTTCTGAATATTAAACGGCACCTTGTGCCTTTTACTTGGGTGCTGGGAGACCCTTTGGGATGATGGGAGGCAGCAAATGAGCTGAGTGGGTTGGCTTGGCTTGGCCAGGGGGGATGAATTAGCCCCCCTGGGTGCTGGGTGCCCCGGTTGTGGCAATACCACCGGGATCCAACGTGGCATGTCCTGGCGGGCAGCGATGGCCGGCAGAGGCAGCTGGGAGGCTGCAAGGTCTTATCCTTGTGTCCTCGTGTCACATCTTTGTGTCCTCATGTCACATCCTTGTGTCCTTGTGTCCTTGACCCACTGTTGCAGCAGGAAATATTTTAGCAAAAAGTGGGGCACTGGGGCAGAGCAGGGCTCTGGGGTGAGCTCCTTGCCCAGAGCCAGTGGGGCACCGGGCTGCCCGGGGTGGCACTGGGTGCCGGATCCAGCTGCAGGGATGGGATGGGAAAGCCAGATCTTTGGAAATCCGACTCTGGGCAAAAGGTAGCCGTGATGCTGAGTCAGCAGCTCCTGCTTCCCCCCAGCACCCTGGTGCTGCGTGGAGCCGGCATCCCTGTCCTGGTGCCACCCCAGGGCCATGGGCACGGCGGGGCCGGGCACCATCAACGAGTTCTTGAGAAACCAGCGCTGAAGCAAGCCTGGGGTGCAAACACGTGCCAGACGGCTCCGGCTCCAGCTCCGTTGGGACGGCAATATTGGAGGACAGAGAGGGGCCACGTCCCTGGGCAAACCATGCTGCCTTGGCACCGCTGCCCCTGGCAGGAGCTTCCCTGGTGTGGGGGTCCCCGTGTGCCACCGCAGAGCCCCCGGCTCGGGGCACTGGGGTTCCCACCAGCCTCACCCTGCTCTTGGCCCTTTGCTCTGCCACCTGTCTTGTCCCCAGCACATTTAAGCAGCTTTTCCTCCACACTGCCCAGTGCACCCATCCCTCTTCCACTGGCGGATGCCGTGACCCTGGGGATCCAGCTGTGACCCTGGGGATCCAGCTGTGGCTTTGCCAATGCAGCTGTGGCTTTGCCCATGCAGATGTGCAGCCCCACCCAGGCTGGTCCCAGCCTCGAGCGGTGCTGGCTGTCCCAGACGAGGTCTCATCGCCTCCTGGAAAATGACACAAACTCTTCCTATCTGTACTGGAAAGACCTGCTGGGCCGGGGAGAGCAAGACACAGAGGGCGCGTGGCGGACTGGCAGAAGGGACAGGCAGCTGCCTGCACCCTGTGCTTCTCTACCTGCCTCCGGCTTCCCTGACCCCCCCGGAACCCCTTTAGGGACTGGTAAAGCCCAACCTGCAGCCGTTGGAGGGAACCCAGCCCCAGGTGGTGCAGGATGAGACCCTCTCCCGAGGTGTCCCCTAAGGAAACCAGCCCCAGGGGCTGTGCAGGGAGCTGTCCCTGTCCCTGGCCACAAGACCCCAAGCTCAGCCTGTCCTTGGGCTGATCCCAAAGCCCTGTCCTTACCACTGTCCCCGTAGCCGGGTGGTGACACTGAACAACTCCTAATTGGGAAATGCCGAGATGCTTCCGGCTCCCTCCCCGGCACTTGCTGCGTCAGCTGCTTCCCAAACCCAAACCCAGCAATAAAACCCTTCTGGGGCAGGGACGCAACCACGGCACAGCGACGCCTCCGCCGGCATCCCCCGCAGCCGAGGTGGCGTGGGTGTCCCTGTCCCCTGCCCTGCGCCCTGGGCACCACAGGGATGCCCACCTTGCGGCACCGAACACAAGGGCACGGGAGCTGAGTGCTGGGTACCAGCTTGGATCAGGGTGCAAGCGCCAGGTGATTAGTGCAGCTCGTTTTTTCGTGCCAATGGGGTTGCAGAGGTGGACGAAGCCATCCCACCCTTGCCGGGCAGCAATAGGGAAGGGTCAAGGGAAGATGCTGCTCAGGTTCCCACCTTCTCTTGCAAATCCCATGGCTGCCCCAGCCCC